TTTCTTGCTTCATATCTTTTGTTGCTCTTTTATCACTTATTTTTATTAAATGTAAATCAAATATTAAATATCAAAGTGATAGTCAATGTTCTCAATTATGTAATTGTTCTCCTTATATTTATCAACCAGTGTGTTTTCAACAACAAATTACTTTTTTTTCACCTTGTTATGCAGGTTGTACAACTGTTAATGGAACAGTAAGATAAATTTTTAAAATTATTAAATGAATATTTAATTTTTAAAAAGGAATATTCAAATTGTTCATGTTTATCATTGGGAGATCAAGTTTTAAAAGGTTCATGCGAAAAATTTTGTTTATTAGAAACATTCTTATTTTTATTAATATTATTTCTTGTTACATATTTTGAAACATTAATGGCAACACCACAATTAATCATTGTATTACGTTCAGTTCAACATGAACTTCAATCATTTAGTTTAGGTTTACAAAATTGTATTATGAAAGTCATTGCTCAAATACCAACACCTATTTTATTTGGCATAATTATTGATAATCAATGTTTATTTTGGTCAGAATCAACGTGGCATCGGCGTGGTTCGTGTTTTGTTTATGATGGAAATAGACTTCCATTTACATTATTTGGTACAGCGATTATTATTAAATTAATTTCATTAACTCTTATTATTATTTTATTTTTAATTGCATTCAAACGAAATAAAACACAAAATATTTGTTTCTCAACTGAAGAACAACAAGATCTTTTAAATAATTCTCATTATTAATCATTCGAAACGCATCAAACTTTTTTTCCATTATGAATCTCAGCATTCGATTATTCTTTTTTTTTTTAAAGAAAACATTCATTGGAATTTGTAAACTGTTTAATAAAATTCCTATTATTCATTCTTTTTAATGTTTAACCACTTTAAAGCTATATGAATTGATAAGAAAATGATCTACAAATTATCAAAGAATATTAACATGGACACTATTTATTAAGAACATAAAACAATTTTATTATAAATTTTTGTTGTTGATTTAATTATTTAAGTTACTTATGTTTTTTGGTTTCCTTCATTGTTTCCGCAAAGAATTTAATTCAATGATTGTTCAAAGGATTAAGTAATTTAATCTTTCTGACTCAACTCTTCGAATTCTCTTTCATATTTCGATTTAGTTATTAGATTTGGCTATTGACACGATTTTTACAGAAAAATAAAATAGGATCTATGACTTCGACAATATTATCTGACCATTTTGAGAAATGTTTATTATTTAGACAATTATCGAAACCTTTCTCAAAATATAAAATCTATCAATAAAATATGATCAACTTTAGTTTTGATTATGCATCAGTATTACTCGGCAGTTTTCGATTATACAGTAAAACCTCTGTTAGTGGACACCTCTCGGTCCCACCGAGCCTTTTTTCCTGGGAATGAATCTCTCGAATGTGGACACCTTCATATTCTGGACTGTAGACACTTTTATCTGGTCCCATAGCAGTGAATAACTTCTTCATAGTGGACAGTCTGTTAAGTTCGTCGCATTATCTTCGTCTAGACAGAATTGTGCATGTGACAAGGCACTAATGAAATCAATACGCGACGTACGCTGCAATACAAAGGCAATGGAAAGAAAATAGACTAGGCAGAGATGAAACAGACAGGGAAAAAAGAGAATAGACTAGGCAAAAAAAGAACAGGCCAGATGATAATATAAAAGGATAGCAAATTACTAAATTGAACACACATTCACATATCTACTCATGAAGCGACACGAATTGACATTAGAACAGAAGATTTCTTTGATCAAAGACAACGACAACAGCAATGGCTTTTCGATACGTAAACTGGCAGAAAAGTACGCAGTTTCGAAGAGTAGTGCCGCTAATATCTTGACATGCAGCGTCGAGTATCAGAGCAATTATTCATCTAATGCTAATAAGGGCATAAAGCGAAAATTGAAAGATGAAAGTGGCAAACACGTCGACGAAGTCCTCTTTGAATGGTTCATGGCTCAACGTGCAAAACACATTCCGGTGTTGGGTCCAATGTTGCAAGAGAAAGCGCGAGAAATTGCCGAAGAAACGGGCAATCTACCACGAGAGTTCAAGGGGTCAAATGGGTGGCTTCAGAGATTTCGTAATCGGCATATGATCGGATTCAGGCAAATTTCGGGTGAGAGTGCAAGTGTCATCACAGCCACAATGGATGATTGGAAACATTGTCTTCTGACAATCGTTAATGGGTACAACGACGACGACGTGTATCATGCGGACGAAACAGGACTCTTATTCAAAGCAATACCGAATCGATCACTCGTTTTCAGCAAAGAGGATTGCAAAGAAGGCAAGCGTTCAAAAGAACGATATACCGTTTTGCTCTGCTCGATTTGGAGTGTGTCTGACAAGCTTAAGCCCTTAGTTATTGGTGAGACTTTGCACATCACTTCCGCAGACTACAATCGGTGATTATATTTTAGGAAAAAGTCGAAAGCCACGCTACTTCAAAAATTTAAACATGGCTAAACTTCCTGTGATATGGCAAGCCAACCGAACAGTTTGGATGAATTCGAAAATCTTTTCGGAATGGCTTGATGATATCAATGCTAAAATGAAAAAGAATTCTCGGCAAATTCTCCTCTTCATCGACAACGCTCCTTGCCATCCTGTCGACTTGCAACTATCCAATGTCAAACTCGTCTTTTCCCGACCAATACGACGAGTATTATGCAACCTCTTGATCAAGGTGTCATACATTCTTTTAAGTGCCACTATCGTCAAATGCTCGTGAAGCACATTATTGCTCAATGCGCCACGACCTGCAGTGTTGATCAAATAACGATGATGATACTTGATGCCATTCGATGGATTGATGTGGCATGGAACAAAGTTGTCGACACCACTATTCGCAATTGCTTTCGTGCGGCTGGCTTCTCTCGTACGTTGTCCGATCAACAGACTTTTAAAAATTATGTTTTGTCAACGGACGATGATAGCAATCAAGATCCGATTAAACAGCTTGACGATTTTCTTTCACACATTCGCATTGATAGTAACCAACTGTCGGCAGCGGAACTCGTTAACATCGACACGAATATCCCTGTTTTTAATGAATGGAACGACAGCAGAGATCTCCTTATTGAAATCGTCAGTGTCAATCACATTGAAGATAACGAAAATGAACAACCAGTTAAAGAGACATCTCCAAATTTATCCGAGGCGCTCGATATGCTGCGAAGATTACATTTGCTCGCATCTACAGAACAGCCTCAACTGCACTCGCTCATCAGCGAGCTCCAATCGAAGCTGACAAATGTCTATCTGGACTCGAAAGTGTCGAAACAAAGTTGTATCACTGATTATTTCAACAAGAATTAATAAAATTATATAGATTTCAATAAATTATAAGAGAAGTTTATCTGAACACGTACTTCCATGCGAACGAACTTGAGAAAGGAGTGGAATCTACTATAGTAACGATAGTGATCACTTTGAAGCGAAAGAAATCGAAAACCTCTTTTAAGTGGACACCTCCGTATAGTGGACACTTTGAAAAAGTCCCTTGGGTGTCTACTATAGAGAGGTTATACTGTAGTTTAGATGACAAACAACAGGTTTGGGATATTGTACATTCTATTAGAACTCGTACACATCATAATAAAATGAAATCAGCATATAAAAAAGTTGATCATCAACGTAGATCGGTAAATCAAAACTGTTTCACAGCAAAGGTTTACTATGAATCGTTTTTTTAATATAGGACCGATATCTTGTATGAATCGACTGATGTCGAAAAAACTTACCTGCTCAGTGTTTTTTAGATGTTGGACTAAGCACGTTGAAGCTCTTTTCGTCGATTTACTCGTATAACAATACAAGACTTTGAATTCCATATGAAAAGTTTTTTAGAAATTATTGACGTCATAGAAATCGTGGTAAATTTATTGCTGAAGAATTTATCTGTTTATTCTTTGGTTGATATCATTCTGCCTAAAGTCTGGTCTTTAAAATCGAGATCAATAATTGGAAGTGGATTAAATTGAACTTGTTCATTTTTATTTATTGTCAAAGTATATTGGAATCAAGATAATATAACAAAACTTTTCGAATGCCCCGAGAAAACTTGGAATATTTTTCAAGTAACACTTGCAGAGGTTCATCGACAAGATACTAAGCCATCTAATATTTTTATCTTAACTCATCACACAACTGATAATAGTAACAAGCCCTTGAAATGTAATCTATGAGCAATTGAAACTCAATTAAAAGCGTCCAATGAAAATTTCCACGATGCGTAAAACACTCTAGCATTGATTCACAGAACTGAATCATTAATGGTCCATGTCTTGAAGTATCCGAAAAGAAAAAAACAAAATGAAATTAAATGAATGCATATAGAATATGTGAAAGTGCTCATAACACCTTATTTTCTGAAGACGTTGAAGTATTATACTGCTTTGTAAACTACATTTAACTCTGTTGAAGGCAAGCTTTCTTTGGGAGCCTTCAAATATTGATGAAAAAGTCTATTACACAATTCAGTTGTATTCTTCTATCGATGCTACCTAATCTTTCGAATTTTTTGCATTTTCAATTGCATATCGGCAATCCTTTTTATTTCTGTTTTTTGTAGTAAATTCTTTTTTCCTAATTATCACTGTTAGGTTACGTATTGATCTTTATTTAAATAATATAACAAGAATATACACCCTTCACAAAAAAGTAAGAAAAAAGAAAAAAAAAAGATTAGCAACAAAAGTGTAAAATTAAAAATCGACTTTAAATCATCATACATAGATAAATCACCACCATCAATAGTAAAACTATAACAACTAAATATGTATCTAGAAGAGAAAAAAGAAGACGAAGGATTCGCCATCTATATATAATATATAGATGGCAGATCCTGAAAATCACAATCAAACAATATTACAAAGGAAAGTGCAGCGACCAAAATTTCATGTATGTGTGTGAGTAGCGTCTACTGTTATGATTCAGCATCGACTTCGTCTAACTGTAACTAGGGATCGTTCGTCATTTTTCTAATCGATATGTCCAAACTGTTTGATTCATATTTTCAATACCCAATGCATTTAATTTTTCAAACATTGAGATAGCATCAACAAACTGTGTTGCTTCTTCCATATTACCAGACCAAAATGGTAAATGATGAAGATATCTGCCAAATGCTCTTTCAGAAAAGCGAAAATACATTTTTGTATTTAATATGTGTGCATGCCATGCTTTATCGACCATTTCTGATGGTGAACCCGGTAAGTTATTTTTTAGTCCTGTATAATAATTTTCTAATTCAAGAATTGAGTTTAATGCATCTTCACGACTCATATGTTCGTGTAATTGTAATCTCTCATTTAAATAAAGGAGGTCTTCATCTGGTATCGTGACAATATCAAAACATAATGCAGGAAATCCAAGCAGATGAACGAATAACAAAGCAAAAATGCCTATAAAAAAAGAAACAAAATATGAAAAATATTACAACTGAAAAAGTGAACTTACACATTAGCTTCATATTAGTTATGTGATAGTTAAATAGTAATAATAGGAATCTAAAACTATACATACAAATATATATATATAACTAATGTTTCATTATATATTTATAGTATTCGAATGAATATTGATCATACCTCCGTCACACTGAGCAAGCTTGATTAGTAATATATACATTCATTCACTCCTTCTTTTTACCTTTATTTGAATTATATTATTGGTATTCAGTTACTCATCAATATGCGATGTTTCTCTGCTAATCTAAAGAAGACTACTCAAATATAATCATTCAAGCGAAAAAAAGCTATGATTCAAAAAAATTTTAACGAGCATATTTGCACATGATGCTTTTATCACTCATTTTATTTATTATATCATTTCTAATTGTGTAAGATTGTATGAATAATTTCGTAAATGGCGCAGTAGTCGATATGAATAATCGTGTTTTTTTCAATGTTCATTTAACACTATAAAAGCAATGTATTATTGAGTTTGTATAATGGAGAACAAACTATAAGGTTTACTATGCTGATATGTAACCTTAAAAGTTCTTCACCTAGACACAGGTTTGTCTATTATATAATATTCTTTAGCGTAAATATGCCCTACTGAGCAAAAGCCAATACTTTACTCTCTGTAAAATGATGGCTTTGCTAGGCTGTCATTTTGGCGACATTTTCTTTGTACGCTGTTGCAAATGAAAACACCTTATACTGATTTTTCCGTGTTTTTCATTAATATGCACAGATTTTACCGTTACCGGCACACTATCCCATGAAATTATACATAGATTTGAATTAGTATGCATGAAAATAGTGTATATTCCGTCAAAATACCTAATCCTGATCAGTTGTGCAGGGTTTGACATGTTCTAACCATCTACCCGTGCTCTTTTGTTCATTCGTCAAATAGGGTTTTTCTATTTGACTTTAACAAACAAGTAGTAAGAGGAGCTAATCTTAATCGTTCCTGCCATATGACCACACTATTCAGGAAAGGGGAAAACTGTCATAGAATTAAGATGCCTCTCTTCAATAAACTTTTGTCAATTCTTTAAACTTAAAGACAAAATTGTTAAAATGTCAGAGTAAAATTCGAATTTTTATTCTCCACTCATGAATTATCTTTCCAGCCTTTTCAACTACTGAAGAAAGCATAGATTATCTTAAGCAATTGTACGGAAATGCTGTCTTTCCTCAACTGACCAGCTTTTACTGATTGAATCTAAGTTACGTGATGATTTGTGTCAAATCACAACACAAATACATTTAGAACACATCCTATTAACATTTTATTGCTCTGTACAGTTTTTTTTCACAGAATCGGGAAATGGAAACGTATATGACGCCAAAAAATGTTTTCATGTCTGATAAATACATAAGTCACCGTCACTTTCATTTTTTATCTATATATCTTCAAATGAGTCTCATCGATAACATGTTTTTAAACAGAATATATTTTCTGCCTTTCTTACAAGACAATGATAATCATACATTTATGTTTTTCAGAAAGATACTATTCTTACATCAGTAACAAACACAATGAAACAATTATTATTTATTCTTCTTGTATGCATAGCTTGCTTTACAGCTACTTCATGTATCAAACTCGCCGGGTCCAACGTCCACTCAATGATGCCAAGACGTGAAGCAGTCCGACAACTGTTGCAGAACCCAACCAGCGATCTTAAGGCTCTTTGTTGTTCACCATCCACATGATCATTATTCAAAGGTCGTAAATATTCTTTCTCTTATAACTATTGAAGTGCAATGAAATAAATGTACATAAGGCTGGTCATTGTATGGATTATTCCTTATGTTCATCATCATCATTTAGCAGCTGTCAATATGATTACATTCTGAATAAAGGGATGTTGTCGTGAAATACATGAATAGTTCTCTGGTAGGACCTATTCCTTATTTTCATAATCGTTATTCACCAATGGCGGATTTTATCTTCTTCTCACTCGAGATATGTTCAGGTGAAATAGATGAATAGTTCCCTCGTAGTGTGAACTATTCCTTTTTGTCATAATCATTATTTAACATTTGTAGACTTTGTCCTATACTTACGCAAGACACATTATGGTGAAATAGACGAATAGACTCCTTGTATGTGCTATTCTTTATCTTCATAATCATTATGCATCAATTGTGTATTTTATTTTACACTCAATGAAAATATCGTACCGTCAAATAGGTAAATAGTTCCCTGGTAGAAGCTATTCTTTATTTTCATAATCATTATTTACCAGTTGTGAATTTTCTCTTATACTCAATGGAAATATCTTATTATAAAATACATAAATAGTTCTCTGGTGGTAAGAGCTATTCCTTATTTTAAAAATCATTATTCAACAGTTGTAGACTTTCTCTCATATTCACTGAAAACGCGTTATGGTAAAATAGATGAATAGAATCTTTGTGGTCGTATGAGCTATTCTTTACCTGCATAATCATCATTTAGCAGTTGTACCTATGGTTTCATTATGAATAAAGATATGTTATGGTGACATAGGTGAATAGATCTCTGGTATGATATATTCCTTATTTTGATAATCATTACCCGACAGTTGCAGATTTTGTCTTATATCCACTGAGAAGACGTTATGGTGAAGTAGATGAACAGACTCTTTGTATGATTTATTCCTTAGCTTGATAGTCACCATTGAGAAATTACGCATATTGTTTCATTATGAATAAAGACACGTTACGGTAAAATAGATGAATAGATCTCTGGTATGTGGTATTCCTTATTTTCATAATCATTATTTAGTAGTTGCGGTCTTTCTCATATTATGTTACAGCGAAGTAGATGAATTGTTCCCTGGTATGAGGCATTCCTTATTTCCATAATCATTATTCAGCAGTTCAGAATTTTGTCTTATTTCTAATGGAGATCGAGTACAGTGAAATACATGAATAGCTCCCTGGTATGAGATGTTCCTTATTTCCATAATCATTGTTCAACAGTTGCGGATTTTGTTTTATTCTCAATGAAGAGATGAAATAGCGAAATAGATGAATAGACTCTTTGTGGTATGAGCTATTCCAAATCTTAATGATCATCATTCAGTCGTTACGAACTTTGTCTTCTTCTCAATAGAGATTTGTTGTGGTGAAATAGATGAATTGTTCCCTCGTATAAGCTATTCTTTACCTGCATAATCATCATTTAGCAATTGTGCATATGGTTTCATTATGGATAAAGATATGTTATGGTGACATAGATGAATATATCTCTGGTATGATATATTCCTTATTTTGATAATCATTACCTGACAGTTGCAAATTTTCTCTTATATCCACTGAGAAGACGTTATGGTGAAGTAGATGAATAGACTCTTTGTATGATTTATTCCTTAGCTTGGTAGTCACCATTGAGCAATTACGCATATTGTTTCATTATGAATAAAGACACGTTACGGTAAAATAGATGAATAGATCTCTGGTATGAGGTATTCCTTATTTTCATAATCATTATTTAGTAGTTGCGGTCTTTCTCATATTATGTTACAGCGAAGTAGATGAATTGTTCCTTGGTGGTATGAGATGTTCCTTATTTCCATAATCATTGCTCAACAGTTGCGGATTTTGTTTTATTCTCAATGGAGAGATGAAATAGTGAAATAGATGAATAGACTCTTTGTGGTATGAGCTATTCCTAATCTTAGTGACATCATTCAGTCGTTACGAACTTTTTCTTCTTCGCAATAGAGATATGTTGTGGTGAGATAGATGAATAGGTCTCTGGCATGAGCTATTCCTAATTTTCATAATCATTATTCAGCAGTTGCGGATTTTATTTTATTACTAATCATGATATGTTACAGCGAAATAGATGAATAGATATCTGGTAAAAGCTATTCATTATCTTCATAATCATCATTCAGCAGTTTTAGATTTTGTCTTATTCTCAATGAAGACCCACTATGGTGAAATAGATAAATAGTTTCCTAATAAGAAAGCGATTCTTCTGGCAAATATTAAAAGAACTCGAAAAATTTCATTCATATTCAAGCAACCTTTCTTTTATTATACATTGATATTTAGCTTTCTCTTCTTTACTGTTTACTTAATCAACACTGAAAAAAAATAGGTATCATACCGAACCTTTTTTGCAACGAATTCTAAACCCTCGAAGGGGTTTTGGTAAAAACTTTTGACCCCTTCAAAATGATTGTCATCGTTTGAAAAGTCCTTTTTAAAAGTTCGGTAGGGATTTTTAGGGTTTGGTACGAAACCTAAAAAGGTTCAGAATTCGTTGCAAAACTTGAAACCTTTAAAGGTTTCGTATATTGTACGAAACCCTTTTTTTCTTTCACGGAACCCTCTTTTTTGTCTACGAAACGCTTAGAGGTTCGGTAATGTGACCATTTTCTTTCAGTGAAGATATTTTGTTTTCATTATACATTCATATTTAGCTTTGTCTTCTTTACTATTTACTTAATCAACATATCTTTCTTTTATTATACATTCATATTTAGCTTTTTCTTCTTCATTACTTACTTAATCAAGAATAAAAATAAATCGTTCGGTTAAATAAACTTTTTAATCTTCATTTCAGAGTTAAAAGAACATGAGCACTTTTTGAAGAACTTTGAACAAAAAGAGAGATAAAGGCCAGATTCTTGGCACTATATAGACTCAACCTTATGCTATCTTTTTACAAAGTCGACGAAAACTTTCAGCCACTTGTTTTATTCCTAGGCTTGATTTCAGTTTCGAGTTTTCAGACTGATCGGAACTTGAAACATGATCCCTGCTCCTAACTTTGTTTCAGTCCGAGTTTCTAGTACTGATCAATGTTTCAAGGCTGTTGATAGTTGTAGTCTTGATCTCAGTTTCGAGTGTTCATACTCATGACGGCTCCAGCTCTGATCTCTGTTTCTATCTGAGTTTCAATCAGAGTTTCTAGCACTGATCAGTGTTTTAGGGCTGCTTCTAGTCATAATCTTGAACTCAGTTTCGGGTTTTCATACTCTTCACAGCACCAGCTATGGCCAGAGTTCCTATGTTGGCTTCAGTCCGAGTTTCTAGCACTGCTCAGTGTTTCAGAGCTACTTTTAGTCGTAATCTTGACCTCAGTTTCAGGTTTCCATAGTCATCACAGCTTCAGTCGTGGTCCGAGTTCCTATCTTAGTGTCAATCCGAGATTTCACTACTTATCAGTGTTTCAGAGCTGGTTTTACTCCAAGTCTTGATTTCAGTTTTGGATTTTGATACTAATCAGAACTTCAGCTGTGGTCCCAGTTCCTAACTTGGTTTCAGTCTGAGTTTTGGCTATTTATCATGGTTTCTGCTAAGATTTTATTAATCCTGTTTGGTTCGAGTATTTACTTTTATACTTATCACAGATTCATGCGTGGTACTGACATTCATCAGTCGATCAAGTATCACTTAAAGGAGACAAATTTTAACATCCAGAAACATTATGCATTTCAATGAAATACCTCATCAACAAATTCAAACCAATGGAATAGTACAATCTTGTAGAGCTCCAGAATGGATCAGTGTTCTTAAAGGACAACAAGGATAAAATTGATTTATGGGCATTATTGTATCTTGCGTATAACCGAAAAATATCATCTAAAAGAAAATTAGAAAAGAACATGTTGTATCATACACTTCTGTGTTACTCATTAGAGGAAAGACAGAGCTTTTTTTTGATATATAAAGCGAACTAAAGAAATTGAAAATGAGAAGATTTTTCATAGAAACATTGGATAACAGGAGTATAGGAATGATAGATAATATCAAGTTTTGAGTTAGCTGTGCACTTATATAGTGATATCTAAGTGTTTTATTCGAACAGTAATCAACTCGTCACATCTGAATAGAGTATTAGGAGAAAAAGAGATCCTATTTGAAGACGTAGTCGATATTATTGGTTGAAGATCGCCTTCTGTCTCACATTGTGTTGTGCGATCTTGTCATCGCTACCTTTCTGTTTCATAAATAAATAAAATTTCATTTTACTAAAAGAGCGAAAGTTACTTACGAAAGACTTTGATGAACTTCATTCAAGTTTTCATATGTGAAAAGATATTAAATGTTATTTTCTTACTTGAAAGATAGGCATAGTTGGTATTTTGCAAAATGTAAACTTGGTCCCAAAATAAAATTTTGTTCGATGGAATTGAATCGAAAAAGAGCTTTTTTTAAATCCATTAGAAGCAAGTGAAATTATTTTATTTTCATTTCAATTGGTTCGTCTTACCTCGAAACGACTGTTTGCTAAACCGGGTAACGGACATTTCGCACTAAGTCATTCCGGACTTCGGTCATGTGTCCGGATGTTCGGAAATGATTTGTGTCCTTAATAATCTTTGACGGGAGTTCGTAACCCTTTTTGGACGGGACATTGTATTTAAGAAAAACAGGGAGATCGGAAGAGTTTGGCAGGGAATTCGAAATGGCATGCTCATTACTATGTGTAATATAGTGTCCGGAGATTGGGATGAACAAGACCAGGTGTTCGACATAAAACTCTAAGGTTATTTTTTCATAGGAAAAGGTCTGAAGATCGTAATGAAACTGATCGAGAGTTCATTATGCGATTTTCTAGAAAGTCGTAACGGATTCCTTCTGATATCGGTAACGGTTGTAAAGACTTTTCTTTCTTTCTTTCTTATTATGAAAAATAGGATTCATTCATCTAGAATAATAATTAAACACATTTTTTTCTTTCAAAAGTCTCGGTGTTCGTAATAAAAAGCATGTCCATATAAGAAATAATAATGATAAATACAAGCACTTGAATGACAGTAGTAACAATAATAGAAATGTTGACTGCTTGAATTCATTGGGACATTCTATGTGTGCCATCTGATAATAAAAACTAGTGAATCACTTAACATCTCCCAAAGAACAGCAAACATGAACGCAGTTTCGAACAATATGTCTGTTTCATTAAGATTTCCCTGCAATTTTCATTATGATCTCCAAACATTCACTATCTTATTTGCCTTAATTTTCATTACGATCTCATTGTCTTTATTGTTACGATCTCTCGGTCATTTTCAATCCGAACTCCAGTCAAATTTCAAGTTTTTATCTGTCAAAACTCGACCATGGCTGTTCTTTACGATCATCTGGACAACTTTTATTACGAACTTCCTACTTTTTTTAATGTCTGATTGTTTTTTGTCATTCCGAACACCCTATCTTTTTTCTTATGTCAGGTGATCGTAACGAACATATATTACTGGAGATCGTAATGAAAAGTTAGTGCGAAATATCCCTTTCCCGCTAAACCTTTTTGTGGTATCATTGAAGATCTTGTATTGATTATTGAATCGAGTAAGAAATTTTAATTTGAACCTATATATCGAATCGAATATATAATGAATTGTCAGGATTTTCACTTAAAAGACAATCAACATCGAAGCGAAAACGTTTTTTTGTACCATTTAAATTTTCGAAACTGTGATAGTTCTCTCAGAAACTTTCTTAACTAGTTATAATGGAAAAGATAAAGCTGATAGAATACCGCTGGAAATAGTTTTATGTTTGAACATAGGAGATGACCTTGAATATGCTGTCGTTTATTTGTTTACGTTGTGCTTTTATTACACGAAAAAACAGAAGAATATATTTGAATAGTTTCTTTGCTGCTTGTAACATGGTTTTTTTCTTCATTTTTCTTGCACTAGACGTCTGTATGCGATATAACACCAAACACTTCAAGAAATTAGCAATTCAAGAAACTCTAGAAACATACGAACTTTTGAAATACAGATCTTTAAAAAACTTTACAACTTAACAGACAGAAGATCAATCGAAATCAAACGATTAGATTGTCGTATTCATATTCAAGCTGTATCATTTTTTTAGAAGATTTCTCTTTTCATCGATACTTGATGTGATATGTTCAGAAACATCATATGAAGATCTCATTTCTTAGTATAGAAACATGTAAGTAAACTGAAAAAACGAATCAGTCGGTGATCTTGTTTGATTGAATACATGTTCATCGATTTGAATAAACAAAATAAAATATTGGATCATTGCCAACAGTAATAAACATGAAAAAAAATTTATTTTTTAAATTTCGATCAAATGAAAAATCATTTATTTTTAATGCTTGTAATTCAATCTAATTCAATGTTGATAGAAAAAAACACGAATATTTATTTATTTGATGATGCAAAAGAAAAGAAAAAAAAGTTTCTTAATAATATTAATATTGAATATTTGATTTGATATTAAATAAATATAAAAGATAATAAAAATTAAAAATAAGTATAAAACGGTGAAGATATTGATTGACTGCTAGCTGTTGTAAAACTATCAAAATCTTCTTGTTGATAATCTATATAAGAAATATCATTAGATATTTGAGAAAATCTTTCGATATTATTTTCTGATTTAATTGATGAATGAATTGATCGTCGACTAATTAATTGAATTGGAGAATTAAAATTAACATACCAAACAGAACGATAATGTTCTTGTATTGACCATAAACCATATAAAAATGAAAATAGAATAATTAAAAAACAAAATAATATAATTAATGTTAAAATCCATCCGATATTCCATTGATTAACTAATGAATATGAACGTTGAATTGATATTTTATCTTCAAATTTAACTGTTGATGATTCAATTAATAAGTAATCTTCACTAATTTCAAATCTATCATTTGTTGTTAGAAAACTTGTTTGAGATAAATCTTCACTAGTCCATTTTATTAAATTATTTTCCAATGTCGACTCATATATATTGATATATGGGAATGGGATCACTATAAATATATATATAGATCAATAGATGAATATTAAAAAATGATTACTTGTACGATATTGTGGACAAGCTCCTTTCCAATTAACATTTAAATTCGCTAAACTTATTAAATCAATATTAGGATTCCGAAATAATATTCGAGCATCAATTGATAACTAAACATTTTCAAATAAATTATTTATTTATTTTAATAAAAACTTATTTCTTTACATTTTTTGTTTTTGATTTTAATGAATGTTCAACACGTAAACTTGAATTAATTAATTGAATTTTTTGTGAAAGATTTTCCTGTTCTTCATCTTCTTCAATCCATAATTGTCCAACTAGAATAAAAATAAATAATATATTTCAATAAAACAAAAAAAACTTTCAACCTGGTTGACCTCGTATCGAAAGAATAAATGATAAACAACCATCATTATTATTTGATAAGGAACCATTGTATTTCAATTTAATATAACACATACGATCAGCACATTCACCTTCAGATTTTAATATATAAGTTGAACTATCCAATGATTCATCTTTAGTTTTTTTTTATAGACAAATTTTATTTAAGAACAAAAAAAAGAAATATTTTATTTTTACCCTTGCTTTTTCTCCAAACTATCGAAGAATCATAAGAACCTTGTTGATTTGCTTGATTATAATTAAACCATTGTTCATTTCGATATAAAATATTATTTATAACTGTTGTAGATTGAAAATCATTTAGAGATGATGAAAGAAAAAATGTTGATAACGATGTGTCATCATTATTCATTGTTGATGTTTGATTATTAATTAAAGTATTTAGTCTCATTGATGAACTTGTTTCATTTTCATGTAATTTATTAAATATATATTCAGTTGACGATTCTATTAAGATAGTTTTATCGTCATCTGTAATTGATTCATTTACTGTTGGACTTGATAAAATAAAAGAATTGATTGTTGATGTTATATCATTGTTCGATTGATCATCGATGTATTGAGCTGAAGAAAAAAAAACACAATAAATAACTAATGTAATGTAGACTAAGCAAAAAACACGGCACCTTCACTTTTAAGTAAAATAGATATGATGACGATGATGATGATTTTCATTGTTCTCTTTCTACTATGAAATATGTTCAATTTTGATTCATTTATTTGACTTTTAAACGTGTTCGATTTATTTAAGCAACTGTTCAAATCAATCATTTGTTTCTAAGACAAATAATAGCCTTGGATAAAACACAAACATTTGTTATACAATACAAGAAAAAAAAATGAATAAAAATAAAGTAAAAAGTCTTGTCGTATTTATTCATTATCATGGACTCCATTCAAGTAGAGCAACACCTTGTCCATCAAGAAATGAATTTGTTAAAATTCTCATCCAGTCAACAAGCCACCAAATTCCAATTCCACCTAAAGTTAACATTTTAAAGACTCCTGCTGCAATATAACCACCATTTCCAACACTTAAATAAAACCAATCAGCACCAAGACCACCAACAAAAAATGAAAGAAGAAATGCAGCTAATTTAGATTTCTGTTGATAAGTACAAATTTGAGGTTGAGATTGAGATAATGTCCAACCACGTTCACATAAACATGATGACACATTTTGATTTTGATAACATATTCCATGAATACAAGATGAATCTGATGAACATGAACTTAACACTTTTGAGGACAGATTTTGTTCACCTCTTGTCATTAATATAAATATAGATACATACATTAACGCAATCATTATCAAAATTGATTTTAAAGAATTATTCTTTTTCTTCTGCTCTTCTTCGTCAAATCTATTTTAAAAATGATAAAGATTTATCATTTTAGTCATTATTTATTTATTGACTATCCTTCACAAATGTTCACCTACATTAACAAACATTATTTTATTGCAAATATCATTATGAAATCATTTTATATCATATTTACTTAAATGTATGTGTGTAGATCATTCTAGTCTAAGACATATACAGGAAAGAATAAAAAAGAAACTCTATCGTTACACATTCAGTTCATTATTGAATTCAATGAATTTTTAATCAATAACATAAATAGATTTTAATTATTCAACATCTCATTTATTTGAATTGAAATAGAAAAAGACATAAAGATACATTCAATATTGAATATTTATTTAAAAAAAAAACTTACAAAAAAAATTCTTGATGATCATTGTCAATTATCATCTGTTCAATGATATTATCTTTGACTAAAAAAAGAGAAATGAGACTGGTTATATTTCATTTAGATATTTAAAATTTTTTAGTTAAACATCTTAATTGATTGACAATAAACGATTTGTTCTCTAAACTCTATATAAACATGTTCTTTAATACAAATAAAATAGAATTTATTGCAAGATATATCAATTGGAATTCATCATCAAATAATGAGACAAAATTTTTTTAATCGAATCTCTAATAACAACTCTTTCTTTTTAATAAACTAGTCAAGTAAATTCGCTTTATTTAATTGTTTATTTCATTGTAAATTAATCTATTTATATCATTGAGAATAAAGATTTAAATAAACATAAGATCAATTCAACTTCAGAATGATCATTACACTTATATTCAAATATATCTCTTCCATATAATCATTGCAAAACATATTAAATTGTTGTTTTTATACAATTACCACAAAATATGACCCAAATGATAAGGTGTAATCTAATATATCTTATATGAATATAATAATATGTATCTTTATCTTTTTTCATTTAATAACTTTACTTCATTTTTGAAAATATTTTTCTTTCGATAATTGACAGTTAAAGGGAATCTTTTTTTTCCTACCAACATCTCATAGAATTATCAAATTGATTCAATTTTTTTTGACTAATGTAACCGTCACACATCATAGGGAAATAGTTGTTATCGAAATTTCCTAATATGATATTAGTTAAAGAGTGATTCAATACGGCAAAATATTGTTTCTACTATTACTTCGTTTAAAACTTTTTTTTAAGCTTGCTATACGGAAATAAAGAAACTCCGTCACTAATTTTGGATAGTTCTATAGCGTATTTATCATAAAGATATTTTCATAAGAATTCTTCAATAATGCTTCGAATCAGTATAATTTTATCCTAATAAGTATATATTTAAGATGAACGATTGTTACTGTTTTACACAATAAGAATCAAATAAATCAGTCGATACTTGTCTTTTATTCCTTATTTACTAGATCAATATCTTATACAAGTTCTCATTTGTTACAAAAGTGCGTTTTACTATTCATTTCCAAAAATATTGTCTTACTTTTTTCATCTATTAGTAAACAAAAAAAAACGTTCTAAAAACAAAAAGAAAAATATTAAATTAGCTTTGTTGATTAATTGATTATACATCTAATAAGGGTTTTATTAATAAAATAATAAAGCCAATTGATATGTCACATTGAATCCATTCTACTATCTTTTGTATGTCAACGCCATATAGATATAATCAAATATGAAAATAACTTAGTCATCACCTAAAACTAGTTGATTGTTTACGCAAAAGATTTCTATAATTCGTCTTTATAGAAAAAAAAATAGATCAGATCCTATCTTTCCTGTATAGATTAACATTTTATTAGACTTTCAACAGAATTAATGTAGAATTCGATTGAATCTAGACTGATAGTATTTTTCCGAAATATATTTCATCAGTTTTCGATATCGTTTAATAACGATAGAATATTTAGCTTATCTATTGACAATATCGACAAGAAATGTATTAGTAAATCGACTATTTATTCTCTTGATTAGAATTTTTTCAAGTCTTTTAATCGTTTCTTTCGTTGATCAATCAGAAAACGTCGACGAACATATTTGAGGAGAGCCAAATTAGAATTCAAGAAGAACAAATTTCGATATCGACTTCAGTCAATACGGACAATCTTGATATACAAGTCTATTGTTCGATAAATGTTTTCGTTTTGAAAAAATGATTTTATTTTGAGTTCAATACAATATAAATATGAGCTAAATTAAATAAATATTATTTTTAAAAAATTCTAATAAACATGCGACATCTTCGATACGAAAAAAAAAATATCCGTTTGTCAAAGATTGAGAACCAGTGATTATCAAGAAATTCATCATTCATATATTGATCAACTTTCTTCCAACTTGCATCATCTGTTTGAATTCAAAATAAAAAAAAAGTCAATATTCTTATCATTGTTTTTATTTTTTCAATATTACATATTTTTTTCATTGAAACAATTTTAGCTTTCAATTGATTGAATTATTCTCAATAATTATTTATGGAACAAAGTCATTTTCCCGGTTACAGTAAATGTATAGCATGTCACGACCTTATAGCTCAACAAGATATTCGTCATCATATACTTAATTGTCGACTAGGCGGACCATCAAATTCCTATAAATTATGTGCCTTTTGTAATAAACAAATACCTATTAGACAACATCAAAAACATGTTGAAACTTGTAATCACCAGGAAAAAATATTATCAAACAAGAAAAAATGCCCTAATTGTGGAAATATTCTCGATGAGTTAACTGCACATTGTCAAGCATGTGAGAATAATGATGAAAATAATACTAATGGATATTCAACACCAAGAGCACCAACGCCAACACAGGTTTTATTTGATTTTTTTATTCTTAATTCAATTGACATTTGAATAATATATAATAGACTCTATCAGACAGCCCAAGAGGAACAATTTCTTTGCAAAAAGAGAAAAAAAAACATTGTGTTTTGTGTGCGAAAGATATTGATCAATCAGATTATGAAAATCATCTTGCATCTTGTTCGATTGATGATAATGTTTCAGATGATCGAGATGTTCCAAACGGAGACATTTCAATAGAAGTAATATTCAGATTTTTAGGTTGTTTTTTTTTTATCTATTTATTTTTCTGACGAAATAACTAGAAAACAAACAATCAAAGAATTGTTTCAAATAAAAAACAAACGAAACATTGTATTTTGTGTTCCAAAGATATCGATGAATCAGATTATGAAAATCATCTTGCATCTTGTTCAATTGATGAAAATCATTCAACTACTCCTATGTCAATTGATAATCATTATCAAATGTCAAGCGAGAACATACGTTCATCACAAGTAAATTTATTTATTTATTTTTTGCTTATTTAGAATTGATTTATTAATTATTAGATAGAGAAAAATTCTTTCGAAGAACAAAATATTTTAAAGAAAAAACGAACAAAATATTGTGCTTTATGTTCGAAAGAAATTGATCAAACAGATTATGAAGATCATATTGCAAATTGTTCAATTGATGATACATCTTCATTTATTAATAGAAACGATAATTTCTATGATAAACAACATTCAAGATCATCTAGTTTACAAGTTTGATTTTATTTAACTATTTAAATAAATAATTATTATTTAAATAATTAGAATGATCAAAATCAAAGTAAACAATGTCATTTATGTTTACAACAAATAAATCAATCAGAGTATAAAAATCATATATTAATTTGTTCAAACAATGATAAACATTCAGATAATAATACATACAATCAAAATCGAAATACATCAATACAAGTAATCTTTTTCATTTATTATATAATTTATTTCAATTTTTCAAAGAGAAAATAACGAGTACAAATTTTAAATCGAAATATTTCTTTATCTATCTAATCCTCAAACGATCTTACCAATCTAAGTTAATATCATTAAACATATATATGAATATAAATCATAAATAATTGATACAAATTGTTGTTGTTAATATTGATTATCAACGAAAATACTTGTTGAATTATTATAATATGAATAGTTAGATTTAATATTAATTTGTCAATAGTCATGTATTCATATTTAGAATATTTAAAATGGTCTATTTTGATATGTTTGTCAAATTAAATTAATATGATATAGATATGTGAATTCGATAGATCAATTTTCAATAATAAATATTTCTTTTTTTGTAATAAATAGTTTTATATTTTATTTTAATAATGAATAGTTTGAACGAAAGATTGAAAAAGAAAACAATTTAAAAATGAATAAACTAAAACGTTGTGTTTTATGCTCGAAAGAGATTGATCAATCCATTTATGAAGATCATCTTGTGTCTTGTTCAAATGATGACAATATTGAAAATTTCAATGACAATTC